CATAATTACCGTAATCGCTTCCCTTAAGAACACCTTCCGACCTCTTACGAGTCTTGAGCCCCTATCTTTTGCCATTTCCCAATATTTGTAAAAGATGTGGGACCAATTTTCTGGTCAAAACCAACCAAACACAGAAACAAGCAATAATTAGATTTTATTGTAACCATATAATAACGTTTAGTGAACACAATAAGCTACGAGCTGAAGACAACCTGGAATTAAACAGGATCGTTCAGCGACCAGGTCCTCTGTGAGACTCGACAAGAAATAATAGGAACACTCTAAATGAGAATTGGCGCACAAACAAAGCTCTCTCGATCCGACTTGAATGAACGATTTTTTTCAACATCGCAAACGGAATTTGAAGAAAAAAAAACGGGAAATTGAACATAGGAAATAAATTTACATACGTCATACGCGAATCGCTTCATACAAATAACAATTGATGTGATGAAGATTGATGTGAAGGGATGGATGAATGGATTTGATGGTGATGAGAGAAGCAGAGGGGTCCACAGCTAGCGAATTTTATTCTAAAAATTCTCAAAGGCCCATAAAGCGCGCGCTGCGTTGACGCGCTCTTTTCCCCATACAGAACAGAAGAACATAACACGAGACAAATATGGATGTAATGTGGCGGGTTTGGTGGTGATACGGTAATGAGTTCAGATTCAGTAGCGAGAGACGATGGACGTGAATAGGCAGTGTAGAATGAGATACAAAACATGAAGAAAGTTGCCGGCTGTACGGGATACGAATTCGCTAGTGGAGCTCCGCTATATCGACATCGCAATATGTTTGGCGCATTTCAGAACAGATTTTTTGGTGTTTGCGAGTATTGTGTGTGTTAGGGTTAGCAAAACACGAAGAAGTAACGAGAGATAGCAGTAGAAGGTAGGCTTTTTTGGAAGAAATTTTGAGAAACAAACAAACAAAACCTCAAATCGGACGCCGATGTGCAGAACACACACTGCTCTATCGTAATCCTCTGTGTATTACTAGCTGCATAGAATGAACGAACGATGGTTCGCGATGAATGAACGACGAACAATTCAGTCAGAGACGAGCCACATCGATGCATATAAGGGAAAGGTTGGAGAGAAAAACAGAAAGGAACGCTAGGACAGACGATGAACACCGGTGCTGTTGCTGACGTGGGACAGCGTTTCTTTGACGGGGATTCTATAAATCTCACCCACAAATGTACACCAGTGTCCTCATCAACAACCAACCAGATATCATCAAAAAGATCGTGTCAGCTGCCCGGCTCAAATGAGACCAGTATAGTTTACTATGTGTGCTGTGCATTGTGCTGATAACTATCATAACAACTAAAAACATAGCCCAAAAGGCCGTCTTCTCTGCTAAAGTCCCATATAGTGCGGGGAGGCTAACACTTGTCAACACCGTTAAGAAAAAGCTTCCGCTATGCGATTCATTGCGCTATTTGACGCTCAAACAATGCAACAGAATACATCGAAACACATAACCCCGATGGTGGCAATGTCATTACGCCTGACCAAGGGGCGGTATGGACGGGGGGAGGACGCACGCGAACCGTAGTAGCACATAATGAACGAAAAGAGAAACGGATAACAATGAAAGTGGGAGGGTGCGTGGGCTATGAGAATTCGAGATGACAAAAACGCCGTCACCGTTGCCGAATACGTTGACGACTCTGTCTTCTCGGTGCGATCAAGCTCACAACATACCGTGCGAAACAGGACTAGAGGAGGGTAGAACTGCTGTCCATACAACGTCATCCATTACTACTTTTTGCTCCGTGAAAAGAAGCCGGTTTTCTTCGCTTTTGCTTGTGCACCTTCCGGTAACGTCTGCGACCGTGAGCCTTCTTCCAAATGCGCTTGACCCGTTGCCAATTGCAATTCCGTCAACCAGCGCTGACAATCTTCCTGAAATGAATGAAAATTTTAATACTGCCCCTTATAGTTTGCAACTATACAGCCCATTATGGGCGCTCAACTGGCCGCGCGGGATCAGGACCAGCCATAGCATCGCAGGAATTGTCAAGTACGACCTCCCCCGCCTCGCACGAGCTACCAATTCACTCCTTCGATGGTTTAAGGCCTCAACTGCGTCGCTTAACCAGGTAGTACGTGATACACCTCCAGCTCCCCACCCTCCAACTCTCAAAAAAGTAGTAAGCAGAAAGTCGAACGACTTTTTTCTCTTTCTTTCTTTGAGGCAGGAATCTTTATAACCGCCTTCTATCAACTTTTGTTTCTCACACTCCACTCTCCCTACTATCCCCAATCCCCTCGCTACCTAGCGAAGCTGCCGGATATTGCTTCCTGTCGCCAAGTAAAAAGCAGCCCTACCTGCTTTGGAAACTATCGGTCCCTCTAAATGCGTGGTTCCAGACATGAAACCTGCATATTTGATTCAAGTTTCCTGAACCTAACAATCAAAGCTGCAGCGGCATTCATTAAAGAATTAGATACCTTTAAAATGATTCGGAATTTCCGTATTTTAGTGGCTCATTAGTTTTTACTAGGGCCATACGATGCGTTTAATGGCCGTGGTTATACTTAGGGCCCTTTATTCGTTCCAATACCAGCTACTAATATCAGCAACAGCAGAACCACAAAATTTGCCTATTTCACACATAACCTAATTTGTTTGTTGTACTTTGAATTTACTGGCTGATATGTACGTTTAATAGTACCAAACAAGTGATTTCGTTAATCGTTTTCTGCTGACTGATCGTGTGCAGTATATGAGTAAATAGGAAGATAAAAATTGAATTATGTGCCTCCGAATACGCTTGCGTTTAAGCATGCAATTGCTAGAAAAAAAACCACTGTTACTGTTTGATTCCAAAAGCTAAGCTCCAGCTCATCACAAAACTCATTACAAAAGCTTGATCCTGCTTCAAAGACAGCAAGGAAAGTCTGGACGAACGAGGTGCTCAATGTACTCAAGGCAAACTAAAATGCAGAAAAAACTGCCAAGGAAAACGCGAAATCTCTTTGCATTTGATCTTTGTTGAAGCAACATCCCAGCAGAAGCCGTGTCGAAGAATTCCATTCAGTAGGTGGGTAATGTAGCCCACGAGTAGCAAAATGTGCCGTTGCCATGGCTCGAAAGTCAGCGAAAATGACGCAAGGATGTTACAAAGTCAGCATTTGGCGACTAATCTTAGCATTTGGACGAGTTATGTCGCGCACACCCTCATGACATGTAAGCTGGATACGCGGAGAGCGCTGAAATGCCGCGTCCTTTCTCCCAAGGCCATTTTCTTCCATTTTTTATCAATTCCAGCAACTACCAAACTTCATATCAAAACCGCTTCCCACCAAATTCGATCTGGGGTTTATTAGGATTGGAGCAGCTCAGACGGCCGGAGGATCGACTGAGTTTACTCCGTAACGTCCTATGTACGCACCAAGGCCATTTACCACAAAAGGATAAAAGCTTGCCTTTAATGCAAATCAGTCTTAGATACGCACACATTCACTTCCACTGTCGAGTGGCGTTTGAAGGCGGTGTGGCTTACAATAACTTGCTGGCCAGGCCGATGACCAGTGTTTTATCCTCCGACAGGTTTGGACACCATTCAATCCACGTTGCTCTAATAAGAGTAAGCACATCAAGTTCTGGTTGCTGCCTGCAACACGCTCATCCAGATGAGAATAAAATGGTAAACCTGCCGTCTACACTCCGATGGACAAGCGATGGGCGACACGATCCATCGCTAGTCCGTCGCCGAGTGTGACGGCGGTTTAAGAGCAAAATAGGGGGTGGGCTCATAGGGGGCGTGACGATTCTCATGTAAATCTTCGTAATCTGCACATCTTTCCGTCGTGAAAGGCGCTACAATTCTCGCTTGACAGGCAAAGTGTACTGCTTCGTGAGCGCACATATCTTGCCTTTAATCTCCTTTACAGCTATCCAGGCCCAACCAGTGGTTACCCCAGCTGCGCCTATAGTCCGCTGTCAGCGTCTGGCCGTTTTGGCGGACAGGCAGGGCAGAGCGTTCAAGTTAGTGCAGTCAGCATTGATGAGACTCGCTCAACACGGCAATTATGTGGAAAGAAAGTATCCATATGTCAGACTTCAAGACCCTTAGTTTTTCTTCACTGTTGCACTCCCTAGCAGTTTACCTTCATTCCCAAAGGACGACCGATTTATCGTACCATCCACTTTTAAATCAATAGTGTACTCTCTAAAATGACTGCTGAAGGAAGATTTTATCTGAGAGGTTACTAACATTTCCCTTTGCTTCTTTTTCTAGTAAAGCCATCTGCATTTACAGTTTTATAACTTCTACATTTTTTAATTTATTATTCACTCTTCTAGATTTCCTTGCTATAAATATGTCTAAATTCCTCAACAAGAACCATTTACAGGTGGCGAGAACTATGACGAAGCTTCCAAATACATCGAAGCACAATTTATTGCTGCCAATGACAACCGTGAAAAATCCATCTACACCTCATCTCACCTGCGCCACCGACACACAGCAAGTGCAATTTGTCCTCGACAGCGTACTGGACACGATATTGTCGTCGAAACTCAAAGGATGTGGACTTTATTAATTACCGTATCCTGCCTTTGCAATGCTCGAATGTTCCTCTTTCGAGGGCTTCAAGGGTGAAGTCTTTCAGACGAGATAAGATTAATGCTGGTGTTTTACTTGAAGGAAGTGATCACAATGGCTGGAGCGATGCGGTTTGATGACGTCAATCGACGCTAGTGTGGACTAGACCAATCAGCGCGCTAGCACACGTGGTTGGGACCGCCCCTTGACGCCTTTCCACCAATAACGTCTAATGACGTCATTGAAACCGCAAAGCCCCAAAATCGCTTGTGTCATTCAGTTGGTCGCAAAAACTGCTGCTTTCTTGCGACCGTGATTCGCCAGTCCGCTTGCGGCGTATGGAAATCAAGAGCTCCATTGGTTCGATTTTATATGGCTGTTTGCGACGTCGGCAGCAGCGAGGTGGCTATCTGAGCGAAGTCACTAACGTGTTCAATCCTTCTTCTCCACCCGTGAATGCAGTTATAGTCCTCAGGTTTCGCCAGTACCTTCGGCTACAAGTACTTCGTGAACACGTCTGTCATCCTCTTTCTGAACAAGAAAGATCTTTTCGAGAAGAAAATCGGACATGGAAAATCATTGCGAATCGCATTTCCCAACTACAAAGGTCAGTCATTGATAATTTCGTTGACATGCCTCTTTGAAATATGTATTTATACAATACGTTTTACTGATGTTTCACCCCTACGTCCCGGCGCGGTCACAGCGACTTCCCACTTCCTGATAGCTCTGAGTGGAGGGAGAAGAGTGGTGGATGGGCTCACACCTGCTTACCGGACTTGTTTCTTTCTCTGGTCGATGTCTGTTCCCTATACCGGCTAGTATACGGTGACATTGAAGGCAGGTACCATGATTGGGGGCCGAAGAATAGGGGATATTGTATCATATAACAATGTAAAGGGAAGCCACGCTTCCTAAGGAAGAAGAACGAGGCTCGTCTGCATGAATTGACGGGACGCATGCTACCTCATAGACTCTAACCATCAGTTTCGTGAACACGTCTGTCATCCTCTTTCTGAACAAGAAAGATCTTTTCGAGAAGAAAATCGGACATGGAAAATCATTGCGAATCGCATTTCCCAACTACAAAGGTCAGTTATTGATAATTCTCGTTTGACTGCCTTTTTGAAATAGTTTATAGTTTTACTGATGTTTAAACCCATACACGTCGGCCGCGTCAACGTCGACTTCCCACTTCCTGATAGCTCTGAGTGGAGGGAGAAGGGTGGTGGATGGGCTCACACCTGCTTACCGGACTTGTTTCTTTCTCTGGTCGATGTCTGTTCCCTATACCGGCTAGTATACGGTGACATTGAAGGCAGGTACCGTATGAATTGGGCCGACCAGAAATAAGGGGATATATCATTTAATATTAGGTTGTCTCAGAAGTTCGTGCGTATTTTGAACTTATTTTTGAGCCTGCACTATTCCAAGCACGTGTGCAACCTATCATCATTATATGTACCACCACTATCAGTGACTTGTTACCAACATCCAACCAAAGATTGGCAACTTAACTCTCAAAGGGCTGGCAGTTATGAGCTGAAAAAGGCAGTGAGGTCGATTTTGAGGTGCTAATGGGAATCGTATTTTTTGTCGTCAAGAAGGCGGCTGAGCAGAAAGGGCAGATGTCTTTCGAAAGAGAATGACTACCGCTGCACGATGAATGTGGTAGGCCTTTTCAGCTGGGCTTCGATATTCAGAATCGCTTCATTATCGAAATGTGTGGCCTCGAGTGTCGTGGAGCGTCCACACTTTTTCGAGTTTTAACGACATTTGTTGGGGTTTCACCGTGAGTCTCTGCCGTTGATCTCCCTACACTTGAGTGAATTCATATCTATAATGATTGACATGTCTCTAGTGGCTTACTCGATAACGCTCCAAAAGAGGTGGAGCACGACCTTGTGGTGAATTTCTTCACTTTTCACCCTCTTCTGTCCGATCTAGTCCCTGGAGATTCTAGGTGTGGTTGTCATGGAACCTGAGCTTCTCAACTGCAGTAGTAGCTTTGTTCAACCAGGGCGTACGGATGGAGCTGGACACAAATTGTAGACGGGACTCGTGCCGCACTCCTGTCATCAGTGATCAACTCATGAGGGAATCTTTGGTGAGGCTTCAACCATTCTACGAAGGAGCGAGAACCTCTACGCATTGTGCATCTGGAACACCAGGATGTGGTTGCCACAAAGCAGGTAGCCCCGTGTGGAGTGACTCCACAGAGAGCACAGATTCTCCAAATCCGACACTGATGGCCTCTCTGAACGTGGATTTTTCTACCGGCTGTAGTCTCCTGGGCAGAGAAGATCCAGCTATTCTGATACCTCACTGTTGGTGAGGGCGAGGAGATGTATCGCGATGCAGATGCCGCTTCAGGCTTCAATCGGTTTGTGGCTCAGTAGAGCTGCTTAAGTCAGAGCGCGAAAAACATAGCTCTTTTCTCTTTCCACTTTTGAACTCGAAGAAGGCGACGATGGTGGGCAGGATTCGGGTATAAGCTACTGCACAGTGTGCCCTATCCACAGCCTACGTGAACACATTTTGAATTTGTTGAAGGAGCTTGTGGCATGAGATCCAAAAAAATACGCACGAACTTTCGAGACAACCTCTAAATACCTATGTAAAGGAACACTAATGAATGACGGGACGCATGGTCTACCAGGCGGGCGGGGGGAAAAAGACTCTAACCATTAAAGTTAATCCTCTTAAGCTATCCAGGCGTGAATGACGCGGAAATGACGTGATTTCAACACTAATCCATGTTTGGTGCCTTCCAACGCTTTTGTAAAGGCTCCGAAGAAGGCGAGTGCGCCGAAACGTAAGCCGAAATAAAGCTCTGTACCAATCTCGGAAGCTCTAACAGAAGCAACTAGAAACTAATCCATGTCATTGATTTGAAATCTAACAAACGCAAGGTTAGTAGTCTACCCACCCATTACTTCAGTAATGTGTTATACTGTTCCAATTCGAATAAAACAATGAATTCCTGAGAACATTATGCAAATAATTCGCAGCAAATCTGCAGTTAGATAAATGCATTTCAAAATTGCATGTATTTAAGACAGACCAACGTCATGGCTACTTTTTAATTACAGTAAAAAATTCAAAAATATAACAAGGAGGTAATTAGGACACTAGGTCTAATTGCTTTTCGCAACAAACAAATATCAAAAACATATTTCTAAATGTCATGCATATTGCAGGGAATACTGAAATTATTAAGCTGGATCGATAAGATAAAAAAATGTATGTGTTATATAATAGACTGCTATGGTGATAAATTGTTTACGATCCCTGCGTATCTAATCATGTTTTCTTACTTATGTCGTGATATCGTCGAACGTATATGTAGCGTATACCTCAATAAAGTGATGTTCAATTGAAAAAGATGGAGGATAAAGCATTGCCGTTGATCAATCCCTTTTTGGGATGCGGCACGCATTCTACTTCCATTTGTACATTCGTAGTGGCATTTGAATGCGATGTGGCCTATACAATGACTTGCGGGGGCCAGCCGATGTCAAGTCAGTGTATCCTCCCAGACAAGTCTGGTACCAATTAACCGACCCCGGAGGGATGGAAGGCTTGGTTGGCCCGGGCGACTCACGACCCAGGATTTGATCCCGGACCGCTCGCGTGGTAAGCGCGCCACTTGCCACTACACCACTTCCACCTGGTGTTCAATTCACTCATCAATAACACTTTTCTTCTACAATCTTGAAGCCCGGTTGGATCATTAGGAAAGTTATGAAAAAACGACGCTATCGCACGATACGGGGGCATTGTGGTGGCAAAACATCTGAAACCGCATAAAACACTTCTTTTTTGTCAAAAACGAGACTAAGCATGCGGTGGAGGAGAACTCCAAATAGCGTCAGCGATTCCTTATTTACCCGATTACTGCCTCCTCTTGGGTTTAGTCCTCGAGGATACCCCTGTATCTTGTGATAGCTATTAAAGTTGAAGGGGACCGAAAAGCTGAGGGAAATAAATAACACTCACATCAAAAGTACATAGTTGAACAATTGAAAATGCACCTTTCACTGACATGCCTTTGGGCATATCAAAACAAAAATCAAGAAAAAGAAAGGAAATCAAAAACAAGAGCGAAAGAAGCTTGTAGCCACTAGGAATACTCAGAAACCCCTTCATACGGTTGATTTGCTTCTGTTTCAGAATCGAATGCAGGAATCGCTTCAATTATTTCGTCAAGTAATCAATAACAAGTACTTTGAACA